GAATGTATAACCCTTAGCTGATGTGCAATATTCGAATTTTGTTCAAATGAAAAAGTAAAATTTATCAAGATTTAGTTGAGATCATGAACTAATCAATGATATATCACTATTAAAAACTTGACAGCACTGAATGGCCATTTTGTCCCAGATTGAGGCTACTCAGCAGTGCGTGTGTAGGTTCGTGGGTGCTCATAGCTAGGAAGTCCCACACTTGAACAAAACGGCTGCCCAGTGCTTCCAAGTTTTCACCAGTGATCTACTATGGATCAGTTCATGATCTCAATTAAAGCTCAGGAATTTCCACAACCCTATACTGATACTTACTAAGATTAAGACAGATTTCACATATTGTTGTAACGTGTCTCAAATCTTACTGAACATTTATATTGTCTGGTATACACCTCAAAATAATGATGAAGAACTAATTAATTCTTCACGATGGTTTGGGGTGTTGTTAAGTTTCTTGAATTTCATTGAAATCGAATCCCGCATATAAGATCGTGGGTGCACACTATTGAGGAGTCCCACCATGGGAAAAAACGGCCGTTCGGTGCTTCAAGGTTATCTAATAAGTAAAATAAGAATTTATATTTTTTTGTACTTGGGTTATCAGATTTATTTCGTTAAAATTCTTACCATTCATCGTAGGAACGAATCAGAAGTACACACTATTGAAGTCATTTCTATCTTATCTGTATGTTATGAGTAAAGTCAGGTTTTGTTTTATGCTTTGTTCATCCGGTTTATGATGTTTAAAATGACTTAAATATGCTCAATGATGCCAATGTTATTTTCTATGAACTAAATTAAAGTGTTGGTTCTCCATCATCATGTAATGATGGTATAGTGAACGAGAACACGAGTAGGAACAATCGATTTTTCTAATTTTCTGCCGCCAGGCATTTCATTTTCGATTGATGATACATACTACTTATATCTGTCAAAATCAGGAGCACACGCAACAATAGTACTTTGGATATGGTGTAAAATTTCATGTTATTTGTTTTTTATTAACTACTTTAAATCATGTAAATATTGAGATTAACGTTAGTTCTAACTCTAGATCGTGTTAGATCTATTCAAGATATTGTTTACTTTTATTTTTCATTCTTTTGATTGGTTTTACCACAGTTGTTAAGATTTATTAATGTTGTGACCGAACATTTTATGAACCATTATTTAGTTTCTTGGCATTTTATTGATACAAACCATGAATTTCTTGATGATTCTTGGTGTTACCTTTTCGTCTGATCTCTCTTGTTCTTCTCATGTCTTACTGTTATCGAATAAAGTTTTCCGTCTGACTTATTACATAAAGAGGCTGCATGCTTTTGGAATTATTCGGCATTTACTCTCACAATTTGTCAATCTGAATATTACCGATTATACTTTACTGTTCTCTTTTATTCTTTCCAGGACTATTGAGAGAAGAATTTGCTGCATTACAAAGACTGCTGAAGGTGGTTAACTAGATGTATGGTGAATCTTTTGAGGTCATTATTAATATGGTTGTGGATAGACATCTAAAGTCTTGCAAACTTGTTATGTCACGACAAGGACAATGAATGGTAACTGTTGGGATTTATTGATGAACCAATACTAAACGTATATTTCTATTGTATAATTATTAAGTAACTAAACGATGCATATTCATATTCCTCTTATTTTAAACTTTATTTTGACCTATAAACTATTATCATACGTTCTACCATTCTCGAGTTATACCCCCTATAATAATTACTACCTCTCTCATTCACAGACACATTTGGCTGATTCTTGTACAAATGTTGTTTTCTATTTTATTGGCACGTTGTTGTCAGTTTGATTGGTGTATAAACTCAGTATGCTTGAAATATAATGATTCATATTGCAGAGGCTGATATTGGTGTTCTGGACTTAACTGGCTGGTCTAGGCGAAAAGCAGGACCAATCAGGACTCTAGGCTGCTCGAACGTGTTAACGCGTCCTTTAGTCCGATCGATACTTCCCTGCTTCTGATTGGTGACCTTAAGTTATAACAAAACTCCTGGCAAGTGTCTTCTTAACAGATACTAACCATCCCCTTCATTCATATCTTTCTCCTTGTATAACTTTTGGTAGAACGAGACGTCAACACATTAAAATCTATGCACGCAAGCAAAAGTATAAAAGTTCTATAATATTTTATCCAGCAAGTATACTCTGTGACGAACAGGTTATTAGAGTTGACCTAGTCAATAAACTGTATTCTTAAACAAGCTTCTAATTGAATTGTTGGACAGATTCAAATCTTTCTTTTCACCTTTTTCCTTCTTCTTTTCTCTGTTTTTGTAGAAGAAACTTGTTGAAATACCCCGTGCTGAGGATTCTTTATTGTACCAAAAACATAATATTGAATGGAGCCATTAATAATAATAATATTAATAATAATCAGCATGTAATTGATCAATAAAGATGATAGATATATCGGTCATTTTTATGAATCATTTCATATGACATGGAATTATACGAACCAAAATACAGTGCTTATACTTTGCTAAATGTATCTTTGAAATGCACAAGTTTTATCTAAAAACAACCGCGCCCATAATTTCAAGCCTAACATTAATTCCAAGCCATATTAACTGACTTAAAGACATGTGTAGTATAATGCACAGTAAGAAAATGACAGTAAAAAAATACGAATATCATAAACTCTACATCTTGAGCTGCAAACATGATTAGAGTGTATCAGAAGGGGTTTTGTGCATGTTGTAGTAATTTTAATAGTTGAGATCATGAGTCAATTGAAACTAGACCACCATGGAGAACCTGAAAGCCCTGGACGTCCGTTTCGTCCTATTGTAGGACTCATCAGCAAAGCATATCCACGATCCCGCATCGCGAGATTCAAACCCATGTCCTATCGGTCTTGCGCGTGATCACCTAACCTCTAAACCACTGGTGAAGTTCAACCGGGTCTGTTGTGAGATAGTAACTCACTGACGGCAATGATGGATGTATCGTTCAATTTCATGGATTAGCTGAAGTTAGACATGAACACAGTTGGATGTCGGTTTAGTGGTCTGGTTGTTAAGCGTTCGCACGTGAGAAAGATAGGTCCTGGGTTCGAATCTCGTGGGGGCATGGTCGTGGATGCACACTGCTGAGGAGTCCCAGACTAGAACGAAACGGCTGTCCAGTGCTTCCAGGTTTTCCATGATGGTCTGGCTTCAATTGACCCATGAATTCAACCAATATAATAATTACAATGTATTGTTTCAAATTATTGTTATTATTATGAATGGCTTTATTCAGTATTATATTATTGGCACAACATCGGATTCTCAGCACAAAATATTTCTCCAATTTTCCGTTTCTTATTTCTTGATCGATTCAAATGGTAAATATTGAGTGATCTTTGGTTAGATGTTAGCGATTCACGAATCGACATCTAAATAATATACATTCTTTTTAATGGTTATTGTCAGCCACTACGATATCCCTGATTGATCTCTTTTATAACATGTACAGCGAAATGTTCTAAACGTTTCACAAAAACACTTGAATAGGTTATGAGACTACTAGGCATATTGATGTGTTAAAACAAACAAAAAAGATAACTTTTTGAACTATCTATTTGACTAGGACAGGTAGTTCAGATAATTAAGTGCGTTGTCAATTTGTGTTTGTTTAATCCATTAAACAAACCGAATATTATGTAATATTACACAACAACATGTCTATAATAAATTGAATAACTCTAATCTATATTCTTAAGATTACAATATATTTTCTCTCATTTTCAACATATTCTTGCATAGTTGTTAGTTATTGTGATTTATTATGTTAAATGAACCATGATCCGATCATCTAGTAATGAAGCTTTTCTTTATTTACCAAATGTATTAAGAATATTTACCTAGTGATTGATTCAATTTCTATTTTATGGTACGTTGTGGTCTGTTTGGTTGATATATAAACCCCGTATGCTTGAAATAAATGATTCATATCTCAGGAGATATTGGTGTGTCTGGACTTAACTGGCTGGGCTAGACAGGAAGCCGGACCGATAAGGAGCCTAGACTGATCGTATGGGTTTTATAAGTCATTGTTCTGGTCGATAATTCACTGTTCTTTATTGGCGGTATCATCACGTTATACATTAACAGGACACACAGGCCACAAGTTCAACTCAAGATTAATCATGTCAGTCGAGAAGTATCACTTACCAGGACTTAGGATATTTATTTCTAAACGAAAAAGTATTTGCATAGTGGTAAAATTATAACTAAGGTTCCGACTAACGAATCTTCTCTACAAATTTTTACTAACGTCACATTCAGAACATTATGTGATTATATGAATATTTAACTGCAACCAGTTTTTACATCACTACTAATGTTACTAATATTTTTAAATTTATATATTGTCTTAAGGTATCTCTATGTTAGAGTATCGAATTCATTGAAATGAATTTTTGCAAGTTATCCTATGTCGATAATTCATTATCTCTACTCGTAATGAATATATCAAGTGCTTAACATCAGATTCTACCTAATTTTGATAATTTATCAAGTATTGATATTGAATAGTCAGTATCACATTTAAATAGATACATCATTGATAGTGTAGTGAACGAGAATATAAGTCAGGACAATCAAATGTATTTGAATACACAAATTACAGAATATCTTCCTAATATCTGGAAATCATACAATGAATCCTTAACTTGCAAAATATCAATCAATTATCTCAAACTTGACTGTTCTTTCAATTCTATACCAATTACATTTTGGTTCCCAATCTATCCTCCTTAATCTTCTTTACTTTCTACTATCAAACATTCTATTCCTGACTAGTGTTATATACTACTTATATCGATATAAGTAACACACATACACACGCACATCAAAATAGATCATACATATATCAATATATAGTTTCCCTTAGCAACAGAAAACATTCAAAAAAAAATACATGGATACACAAACTGTATCCATCAATCAAAAATAAAAAAAACAAAAAAATAAAAAGAATATTTCTGTTATTTCCATTTATTTTTAATATTTTCTTTTTTTTAATTCACAATCAAATATTTTTTTTAATTCTTTACGAAATCTTGAACCAACAGCACAATATAAATAAAAATTTATAGCATGATTTATGTACATTAATACTTCAGCTATATTATCAAATAATTCTAATAGTATCATATTATGTATAAGAAATTGTTGTTTCCATGTTAATAATAATTTAATTAATACAACTGGTGCTGTTGTCATTAAAAATACACATGAGATTAACATTAATAATATAGTTAATTGACGCATTTCATTAGAATATAAATGTGATGATCTTGTAATTAGATGAATTGGTTTATTAGTAATACCTTTTAGATGATGATGATGATTATTGTTGTATGGTTTTAATTGCATATTGACACTTGGATGTTTACATTTACATAAGTTCCTATCAATCAGACTATGATTAGTTGTATGAAATATACCAATATTATCATTATGATGATGATGATGATGATGATGATGTAAATCATCACTATGGCAACTATTCAAAGAATCAGTACTTGGACTATATGGTGTAATCATTTGTAAATGTAATGTTAAATGTTTTCTATCATATAATGATGATGAAGAACTTAAAGAAGATGATTGATTTTTAGAATGAACAATTTGATTCATTTTCATTGGTAAATTACGTAATTTTTTATTATTTCGATGATGATGATGATGATGATGATGAATAGGGTTATTATTATCAGTAGTATATTGATGATATAAAAATTTTGTCGATGGATATTTACCAATTAAATGAGCACGTTGTTTGGTAGCCCAACGTATATGAATTAATATAATTATATTTGATATTAATATAATAATAAATGGTAAATAACTATATAATGTAGCATCAATCCATATCCATATAGATTGAAAACCATTTTGCTTAAATATAAAATAAAAATCACATATTAAATTATCATTTAAATCATGTAAATTATTATTCAATAATTGTATAGTATTATTATTATTATTATTGAATTTTAAATAATAATCATTAGTTGCTAAGGGAAAATTTGTATGATTTTGATCATAGTAACTAGAATTTGTTGTTACTAAGTTAACAGTAATAAAAAAATGTATACATATTATTGATGATAAAATACATAAAATAATAATAGATATATATGAACGTTTAATACGATTAATACAAATTGAATTGATTGGTGATATAACAACTATAGTACGTTCAACAGTAATTAATACAATAATCCATACAGATATATAACTTGTTGTCACCCCAATAAATTGTATTGATTTACATAATAACCAATGTTTATCTTCTATACGTATAAATAATAATTTATCTAACCATCTACGTAATAAACCAATACATAATACACCTTCATCAACAATTGCTAAAAATAATAAATAAATATGTGTAGATGGATATAATGTAGTACGTTTATAAAATACTAAAAATGAAAATAAATTACCAATGGTACCAATAAAAAATATTAATGGTGGTATATAATTCCATATTAATTCAATTGTTTGACATATCATCATTATAACAGATAATGGAATATGATTATTATTATGATACATTGAATCATATTGTACAGGAATCAATAAAGAAGTATTCAATGGAGCATTATTGTTGAATAGATTCAATGGATCATTTTGATTATTTGTAGAATAAATATAAGATGATGATGATGATGATGATAGATTATTAGTAGTCATATTTGTATAACTTTCTAAGAGATAATCAGTAGATGATAATTTTTCGATATTATCTGATTGATTATGAATGAATCCAATCGTTGATAGAAGAATTGATTCGATAAATGATTTTTGTATAATTGAATGTTTTATATAATCACAAACAAAATATGAATTAAATGAAGTCATTTTATTGAATTGATTAAATATAAAAGGATAGAAACAAAAAAAATTCTCCGCTTAGTAACTAGGTAGTTTTTATCTCACTTTATATTAGAAACGAAGTTGATCCTTTTAAGTGAATTCACTAATGTACAATTAAATTGTGATATTTTCATTTGATTGGTCAAATGAATTTATGTGAAATAATGATGTGATTGGTTAATTTAGTGGATAATTCAAATAGAATGTAGTTTCAATTTTGGATAGAATTAGATGGAAAGTGCTGGTGGGCGGCTTATGCTCCTTGGAGAGGGGTAGCAGAAATTAGTAAGTAAGTAAACCTGCAACTAATTCAGGTGTAAGGAAAAACTGTCACATCAATAGTTTCTGACCCAACACATACATATCCAGAATGAAAGTACAGTAAATTAAATCCACGAAACATTGGTTTGTGAATATTTGGTTATAGTGGGATTGTAAACTGTTGTGTCACAATAAGAATAAGGAATGGTAATTTTTTGCGATCTGTTTATGGACTAATGCTGTGCGTATATTTTTGTCGTATAATTGTTAATTAACTAAACTATTCATATTCATATTCCTCTTATTATAAGCTTTGTTTTAACCTATGGACTGTTATTATACGATTTTCTATTCTTGAATTATTCCCTGTCTATTAATCACTACCTCGCACATTCACAGCTACATTTGGCCAAATCTTGTACAAATGTCGTTTTTTATTTTATGGTACGTTGTGGTCTGCTTAATTGGTATATAAACCCGGTCTGTTTGAAATAAATGATTCATATCGCAGAGGCTGAGGTTGGTGTTCTGGACTTAACCGGCTGAGCTAGGCGGGAAGAAGGACCAATCAGGACTCTAGGCTGCTCGCACGTGTTTTACTCGTTCTTGGTCCGATCGATAAGTCACTGCTCTCTAATCTGAGGTCACAAGTTATAACATAAACCTTTGATTTTTTTATTTATGACTAGTCATTCTTATTAACTACATCTCAAAGTTATTATTCAGAATAAGACTGCAACTTAGTTGCCAATTGCATAAAGACCTGATGTTTGCAGTGATAATCACAGTGTTTCATACCTCAGCGTGATTATCAACACTTACAGCTAATTCTATTTGTCTTCCTGAATCCTAACGCTGGCTACAATCCATAATATAATCGTTTCAGTTTTTTCACAAAAAATACATCACAAATAAACGAAATTGAAGAACTATTTCTTATAAAGGGATTGTATGCTTACAAACACAGTGGAAATCGGTGACTAATGAAGACTTGATTACAAATGTTTATTGCCTGCTTGTAAATATTCTCTTCTAAAATTTATAGTCATTGATGAATACAAATGTAGCATATTTTGATCTACGAAACGATTTCTCAAGATCAGTATAAATTAGAATGTATTTTCAATAGTGGTTCTACTGAATATATTTGTTTCCATTATGCATAATGTATAATATAGCTATTTGTAAGTAGTTATTCTTTAATAGTTGAATTCTTTAGTCGATTTAAGCTAGATCACCATTAGAAAACCTGGAAGCACTGAACAGCCATATCGTCCTAATATGAGACTCGTGAGAACTTTGCGTTAATATCCAACGGTGTTAATGTCTAACTTCAACCAATTCACGATGTCGTGCGACCGTCCATCAATGTTTTTAGTGAGTAACTACCTCACAACATGCACGGTAGAACTACACTGGTCACGGTTTCTCACTAGAACTGCAAGAAATACCTCTTGAAGCCAGTCACTAGTAAAAACATGAAAGTTATTATCAGAATGGGGGTTTGTGGAGATTTTAGTAAATTAATATTTGAATTCATGGGACGATATAAGCCAGACAACTATGGGAAACCTAGAAGCAAGACCAAAGGTTCAAAGTTCGAGTCTGATGTTCAGGATCATGGATGCTCATCGCTGAGGAGTCCCTTACTAGGGCAACATGACCATCCAGTGCTTCTAGGTTCCCCACGGTGGTCTAGCTTAAATTGACTTATGAATTCAACTATTAAATTTCTACAATCTTCACAAACCTTCGTTCTGATAGTTATTCTTTAATGAAGACAATGGTTCTTCAACATTTTATGTTAAAAAGAAATCTTGTGAATTAATTTTAACACTTGTCAATTAGAGTTAGAAACGGTAGAGCTTCTATTAATTATAAATATTAGTATTCATAAAATATCAGTCATTAGAATCAAATGTTACGTTTAAGTGTTACATACCTTTCAAGAAACTAAATATTTAACAAAATGACACATATGAAAGTGTACACGGAACTATTATTCTTATATCATTAGTATTGAAGCGTTCAATTTATCCTCTTGTTAATATTAGAAGGCCAAAGTTTAGTTAGTCTTTATAGACTTCCTCGGTATGATGATACAGTCATAAGTTATTTTAAACAGATAGATTGTGACTAGAAGTAGAATCTATTATTCTCATTTCGTCTTATTTTGGATCTATTAGATGAATTTACCTACGAATCATCTTTGATCTTCACATCAGAACTCGAATCCAAAGCTTTTCACTTTCAGTGAAGCTGACGAACCTGAAGTAGGACGAAATGCATATCATAGATTTGTTCTAAATTATGATTATTAAGTAATCTGTTTATAAAATTTCTTTTATCATAAGTTTATTCAGGGTTTATACATATTAACATTACAATGTAACTTAACATATGTGATGATCAAAATAAACAGAACGGGTTTTTTTTAAAGAAAATACGTGATTTATAACCTCTATCAAAGATATAGTGGAAATGATCATAGAGATTGAAACAAACTTATCTTCTTATGTAAATACTTATGGGATTGGACACAATATCAAACATTACAATAGTACAGTATGTAATTGTATTTTTTCTTGAAAAAATGGTAGGTAACCATATGGTTTATATTGATCATTTCATATGAAAACTGAATAAGAAATAAGCTGATATTGCTTAAGGCAAATGAGAGAAAACTAATAACATAATCAAGAATGTATGATAAATCAGAATTATTTCTAATATACAATGAGCCATACACTTGATTAGCCCCCAAATGCCTTGGTAAGGCTGAGAGTGGGGAGAGTCCACTTTCCCACTCGAAATGCTCTTACATGGCCACGCGTATATAGCCTCTGTCAGGGAAGTCCTACTCACTGCCTTCTCATGGTGGTGGTGTTGTTTACTAAATTGAGAGGACGAAAAGCGAATGTTTAGCGCTTTAACCAGATTAGTGAATATGGAGGATTCCAAACCAATGATGCACATGGGCTGGCTCCAGTATCCTGAAGCAATAAATGGTGTATGAACCTGTTGTTAGTCACCGCCTACCATGAAACTGCATCTCCTGAAGTTGCCCCATTGCTTTATGGATCAAACCTTTAGGGAGAAGGCTCGGGGAGTGGCCCCCTAAGAAAACCACCTGCTTTGGTTTGGGCACCCGGTCAGTATCACAGCCCTCACACATATCAAATGAGATTTGTGTGGCGCATATGTATTTGGCGCCTCCCTGTATCAATATCTATGTGTTAAAATAAATAACACTTGAGTTACTTTATTGGATAGTAGTCAAATTTAAATATATTGAATTAGATAATGATAAATGATAATTGGGTTAATAACATAATTGATAAGTCTTATCGATTGAACGCTATATTAGTTTCCTAAGGTTTTGCAAACGATTTCTGGATCACCGCAACAATAATACTGGATAGGATTGATTATATCATAAGATTACATTGTTACTGTTATATCCCGATGAGAATTATGAACGGTAACTTTTGAGAACTATTTATGGACCAATACCATACATATACTTTTGTTGTATATTTATTAAATGCCTAAACTATTTGCATATTCTTGTTCTTTTTATTTAAAGCTTTATTTTAATCTATAGATTATTATTATACAATTTATCATTCTTGAGTTATGCCCTGTCTATCAATTACTATCTCCTTTATTCACAGCCACATTTGGCTAAATCTTGTTCAAATGTTGTCTCCTATTTTATGGTACGATGTGGTTTGTTTGTTTGGTATATAAACACAGTATATTTAAAATATATAATTCATATTGCAGAGGTTGAGATTGGTGTTCTGGACTCTAACAGGCAGGACTAGATAAGAAGAAGAATCGATAAGGAATGTAGACTGCTCGTACGGGTTTATGCGTCATTGTTCTGGTCGATAATTCACTGTTCTGTAATTGGCGGTATCATTACTTCATATATTGATAGGAGCGCAAGACCACAAGTTATAACAGTTATAATCGACGAATATAACTAGTCTACTAAGTTATTCAAATATTCCTTCCTATAGAATTTCTACCATACATCTGATTACATCACTCCGGTTTTCTTCTGATGAAGCATCGAAAATGATATGGAGTACGCTAAGATGTTCTGAATAGTACTAATATCTTATCGTCATTGAAAGAGGTATTATATATATTCTTATTTCATTGCTTGTGAAACACTAATATTGAAAAGTAGTATTCTCAAACTTTAAAGATACCTAAATATTGATGTGCAGGTATGAGTCACTTTGGAAACGATCATTTTAAACTGAACTACCTAACTTTCGTGTCTTAGTGAAAATCTCTTCCTTAGAGAAAATATTCTTTTTCTTGATGGATCAATTTGCACTAAGTCGTAAAACACCATAAACTCAACTTCCTGCTCATCTGAATATTATAAGTATTTAATTTCATTAATTTTATTAACAGTTCAGCTAATGTTCAATTTTATTGTTGAAATTTTCAAGTCATGTTAATGATTTGAATAATACCATTGTTGATATATATGTAGTTGGATCTTGATCAATCTCAGTTGGTATACGTACATCCTGTACGGTTTATCTCAACACAGCTATTATTTTACAAGTTTAAGACCATTCAACTGGACGTACTTAGATCACAGTAGGTAAGTGAATGTTGCATTGGTTTTTCAAGTAAAAGTTACTGGGTTAGAGTCCTGAGATAAACATCCACGTTCGGATACAGATAGGTGCACGTGAACGCTTAGTCACTAGATCACTGAACTGTCATTCGTACTTGTTAATGTTTAACTTTAATCACTTCGTAATATT